TAGCATCTCAATAACAAACATCAGTCATAAACTGTAAAATTTATCCAAGAAAAGGAGAGAAAAACCATGATATTATTGTGATTTTCCCTGGTTTGCAGGGACTTTGCTTGTGCCTATAATGTGTGCATAGATATAGCAACGAAATGAGTATACAATGTTTCTGTACAATATGGTATTGACGTGAATGAGAGTAAATACTTCTTCATATCTGTAAGACTTAGTTGAGCTAAAACATTAGACACAATTTGGATGAATTCAGAAGAGCATAATTGCTATTTGAAGTTTCTTTGTTCTGTGTAACATTCAATGAAGTGCATTATTCACATGGAATATATTGAGTGATATCTGTTATAATGTTGTATTGATGAGAGTGCAGCGTCTAAGCAGTATCCAATACATGATAAATGTTTATGTTGTATTGATGAGAGGGTAGCGTGTAAGCATTACTAGTATCCAATACATGAAAAATGTAATACTTTTGTACAATACGTTCTATGCTCAAAATGAAGTTGTGTTAAATTCTACTCATCGTCAGGGTTCCTTCTTTTTATGTATACTGTTTAGTATGGACTATATTATATAGTGACTGATTAAATGTACAAGTTGTTTCTTTTCTTCTGAAAAGCGAAGAAATTGCCATGTATTTGGGAAGGGAGTACAAAATAAAACGGTAAACAGAAATGTTCTTGGTCTTCTTGTGCATCTGGTGAAGAATAAGATGTTTTTCCTCTGGACATCCCCACTTACACACACCTGTCCTGTGTTTAGAGTTTCTAAGTGCAAGCTGTGTAGGGAACTAGTGCAGTAAACGTAAACGTTCAAAGTAAAAAAAAATATTAGTCTTGTAGTGTTTGTGATCGAGTGTGAGTGTACATGCATGTATGCGTGCGTATGTGTGCATTTGTATCCTTGTCTGTGTGTGGATGTGGAGAATTGCCTAACTACAGATCACAAAAGGCCAGGCACAGGGAGGTAGGTCCCAACTGCTGACTTGGAGACAGCAGGAAGTTGGCCAGGAGAGTCTGTTGACCTAAAGGCTGTGGAAAAAGACAGAAAGAAATTTACCAACACAATATTTAACTCTAGATGCCTCTATAGCCAAACATCTGCACCACTGTTAAAATCCTTAAGCTAGTTAAGGATTAAAACCCCACAAAAGTCGGCTTAAAAACCGTCAGGGGTAAAGTCTACACTTCCTATCACGGGCCAGGAGGAACTATTTACTAATTCTACAAGTAGTTCTTTTAGTGGCTGCAATACTATGAAATTGGCAGGGCAGGCTCCATTTGCCAATTTGATAAAGTCTTGCTATACCAATTTGACATATCAGTACAATAAGAAATTCCTATAAAAACGCCATAAACCTGTGAAGAAAGAGGCCGAAGCCCAAACCTCTGTTTGGAGAGTACTTAGTCTATTAAACGCACGAGCGGTTGCGTAACAGTTCCGCCCAACTTCGCTTGAACACCCGGCGTTTGCCCCTCCCCACGCCCGGCTGGAGAGACAATTTGTTGTCGCCTGAGTACCGCACCTGTCAGGGGAAGGAAAACATGTTTGAGAACAGGGCGGGCGCGGGGACACAAATAACTTCGGGGAGAAGGTAGAGCTATCAGGTGGGGAGAGTAGAATTCTTGGGTCTCTATTAGAGCAGTGTCGCAGTAGGAACAACAAACGACAATAGAAATATTCTAAGAACGCATTACGTAAATATGGTCTCCCGCGACAAAGTTCTTGAATTCGAAACACTTTTTCTCTAATACATGTTTATTCATTTGACTTCCATGGTGTACCAAGGTGTTGCAAAACGCTATTAGCTATGATATAACATTTCTATAACCCAGTTTGTTTTTTACCTTGCTCGTTATTTTATTTGATTAATTAACTAATACATCACCCAGTGGGCCCGTTGTATATGTGGAACTAGCTAGGTATGTCATCATATGATTTGTACAAACGTAAAACAATTACCGGAAGACATAGAGGCAACCAAGCCAGCTACTTTTGGTCTACTTTGTTCAGCCAGTGAACTGTTAGATCCAAGTATGTTAACCTTTGTGGCCAAGTGATTAACTCTACTCAGTCTAGCCTCAGCAAAACAGTCCCTAAAGACTGAACGGACTTATTTTGGTGGGCTGTATTGTACAAAACCATCTTTTACCATTCAGAAAAGGTTGAACAACACTTTGCTTTGTGTCCTGACCAGCTATTCTTGTTACAGTGTTTGCGGGTACTTTTGTGTAACACAACACTTATAACTCAAATTGATGAGAGATTTAGCGTAGCAGTTGTTAAGGGTCAAGCAACTTTATTTCAAGTGGACTCCATTGTAAAAACAGTTATTTTGCCATCAAGGACATGTTCAACAGCGGTCCTTTCTGTACCGAGTGACAGGCCGTTTCCGTTGCCGAGTGCGTGTGAGATTGACGGGATGTCAGGCTGTTAGCCTTGCTAGCAGTCTCCGTCGGTGGCGTTTAATTTTTTTTTTTTGCAGTGTGTTTGTCTGTTTGTTTGTTTATTTGCTTATGTGTCCATAGCTATTTATAGTGACACAGGAAGTAAGGGGGAATGGTGTAACCGCAGACTAACAGGAGGTAGTGTTATGTGTATAGGACGAAAGTTCATAATGTGCCTTATAAAAACTCGATTCTAAAATTAACAGTGGTTAAGTTATAAACTCTAATTGTTGCCGTGTTTTCAAGAACTACTGTCATTGCAAAATTGATATTAGCCATCACAATTGTTGGTAAACAGCAACAAGAAAGTGCAATATTACAAAATTACAGATTACTATTAAGGTTTGTCCTACTTGTTGTTTCCCAAGTGCATGGGTGAAACGGGAGTTAAAAAAACATTACAATAATTAGAAAGCAGTGTGTGATATCAAAAACGCCGCAGAGGACTTTTACGTAGGCTAGCGCCGTGTGTGTGG